AATTCTATGAGTCTTGTAAGCCAAAGGACTACGAACATTGAGTTTCAATTGCTGCCAAACAGATAACAATTAGCCCCAAGGCACAAAGTGTAGCAAGTTCTAGTTCTTAAACCAAAAAAAAAAAAAAATCAAATTTTGATCAAGAGGGTTGAACAAAAAGCACACGAAAATGGCCAAATACTATATGACCCTGGCGCTGCTGCTGTGCTTGGCCCTGGAGAACAACAACATCTACGCGCGATCGCATCCAAGCGCCTCCGATGAGCCGGGTAGCATGCCACTGGTCCGGGCACATCCGCATCCCCGCCACCAGCCGCATCAGCAGCAGCATCAGCATGTGCAGCAGCTGCAGCAGCATCATACACGCCAGCAGCGCAATCGGCAGCCCAAGCGCATTGCTCCGGACCCGAGCAGCGAGGAGGAGGAACTGCAGCTGCACTACGACCAGCGGCTGCGGCGTCATCTGCGCCGGCAGCGCGACCATATGCTGCAGCAGGAGCGCAGCTATCATCGGGTAACGCCCGAACAGCTCAAGACCAGTCCCAATCTGTGGCAGCTGCTCAGCCAGGGCTACCAGTTTGATGAGCTGCGCCAGAGCCAGGAGGAGGAGGAGGAGGAGCAGCAAGAGCAGTATGAGGGCTTTCCGCAAATGTTAAGCGACGCGCCAGCCGACGAGCTCATGTCGTTTGAGGATCAGCAGGACTATGTCAAGAACGAGCTGCAACTCAGCCTGGCAGAACCAGCGCCACCAGCTGTGATAGAAGACCCAGCGCCAGAGCACAATATGAGCAGCCACACAAATGCCACAGCCTCCAGGGGCTGTCCCAAGTGCGAGAGCAGTCGCCAGGTGGAGCATATCACCGAGGAGGAGTTGCGCCGGCTGCGCATTGAGTTTGTCAAGCAGCAAATTCTCGAGAAGCTGCGCCTTAAGGAAAGCCCCAAGGTCTCGGCCGTGGAGCTGCCCATGCCCATTTTCGAGGGCGTAACGCTCCAGCATGCGGAGGAGTCCGGCAAGAACAAGGATTACGATGACTACTATGCGCGCACCAATCAGAAATTTATACTCCTGCAACGAGGTAAGTCCTTCACAAACTTATTCACAATATACACAAAGTCAAAATGAAACTATATTCTCTAACGTGACATTATGAGAGACCTTCGCGTTACAGTTTTGGAGATACTTTCCCTTAAATGAGGAAGTCTCACTTTGCCTCCTTTTAACATTTTCAAGCTTAAAAGAAATTTATTCCAAAGAACTTAATATTGAGATAATAAAATATTGAAACTTTCTAGACTCCGGGTTGGTTAAAAACCAACTTGTTTGAATTCTCTCATGCCTATAATTTGTTATCCCATGCATAAGATCTCTGGGTCTATCTATTACTAAACGATATTCATATTCAATATTTGTAGTTAAAGCAAACATTTAAAGATCCTTCAATTTATTTTCCCGATTACAGAAGAAACCGAGTGCCGTCGCCTGGGCGCCCATCCCTCCATGTGCTTCAGCTTCAAGATCGACGATGCGGATGCGGATGGATTTGATGTGAACAGCGCTGTGCTGTGGCTCTATAAGAACAAGCAGAACTACACCAAGTCGAGCAATGATAGCCAGCTGAGTGGGGCCCCGAAGAAGCAGACGCTGGTGGTATCCGAGGTGGAGCAGCAGCTGGACGCCAAATACCTGCCGCTGGCCAAGACCATAGCCATACAGTCGGTGGATGTGCAAGGTAAGCGAATGCAGCGGATCGCAATCTCTTATATTATATATGGATTATGATAGTAGTACGCCGATAAGTGGATGTCCATTAGCAACTGTTTATTTCGCTGCTGTTGTTCTTGTACGTCCGTTGGTCGAAAGATCATTGATAGCATGCACGGGCCGCTGTCCGGGAATTGTGGGTTAATAACTTGGCTACGAAATCAAAAATAAATTTTATACTTATTAATTTCTATACAAACATACATGTATATTATGTTTTTGTCATGCCAAAATTGAACTTTGGTCTCGCTCTCAAATTTTACCAGCTGTAGATTAGCAAAGGTGAGCCCAACACAACACAACCAGCAAAATATATGTAAACAAAATAAATCCAATTAATTATGCTTAGTCAAGAGAAACTGCAAGCGCTGAGCAAGCTATGGTAAAAACCCAGTTACCATAGATTGTTAGCTCTTCGAATTGCAGGGCCAAGACAGAGAATAAAACAAACAATGAGTAGACTATTATTCAAGCCTAGTTACAATTGGCTGCTAATAAGAAGGAGTAATAATAGATCATTCAATATAATCGGAGGGATGATATTGAGAGTTTTGATCGATAATTCTAACTTCTCGGCAACTCTTAAGTTAATTTCAACTTGTTTTCTTCTCAACTCGCTTCAGATGAGTGGATGAAAATCAATATTGAGTGGCCGATCAAACGCTGGTTCGGCAATCACGAGCTCAGCCATCTCATACAGATCACGTGCGAATCGTGCGACATCGAGAGCATGGAGGAGATCATATCTGTCGACAAGAACTATAGACCCTTCATAATGATCGACACACAGAATCGTCGCAGCAAATCGCGACAGAAGCGAAACATTAACTGTTCCAACGGCGTCACCGAATGCTGCCGCGAGAAGCTCTACATATCATTCGCGGACATCGGCTGGGACAATTGGATAATGCAGCCGAAGGGCTACGATGCGTACTTCTGTCGCGGCTCCTGCAGCTCCGTGGCGAGTGTCGCGCAGGCGGCTTCGCATCACAGCTCATTGCTGGTGGGTTTCGACTCGAATTTGAGTTTCTGTTTTATGTGCTAATCCTTTGAATTTCGCTTTGTAGAAAATCCTTTCCACTAATGGTACACGCAAGCCGTTGGATCTGATACCCTGCTGTACCGCCAAACAGTATTCCTCGTTGCAGTTGGTCGTTTTGGACTCCAACAACTCGGCGACAATCAAGACGCTGCCGAACATGGTCGTCGAGTCCTGCGGCTGCAGATAGTTCCCAGCTACAAGGCTATATAGCTTCTAAGTACCACACAGCATCGAGAAACCTCTCAAATGAACGGACAAATTAGAACTAGTTCACATTCGTGCAGCACCCACTTCATAGCTTTCTGTAATTAATTTCAATTTATTTAAATTCATTTTCAATGCATCCGTAATTTAATCGTAAGCTAAATAACTTAAATACGCTGCCATTAGTTTTAGTCGCAGTTAGTTAGTTAATTGAGTTGAAGCTGAAGCGAATGTACTTAAGTGCTCGAACAATGCTTAACTTAACTATATTAAGCTAGCCAATAATTCAATTTATCATCAAGTCTTCGCCTAAAATTATTATTAATTAGCTTAAGCTTCTTTCATCTTATGTTTTCATCCCCTATAAAGTAGCCTCATAAATTATTGAGACGGAAAAAAATAGTTGCAAGCAACAATAAAATTTCAAATTAAAAACATTAGGAAAGCAAATAAAAGTTACGATTCTTTATGTTGCCGAAGATTCAATACACTTGCAGTTGTGACAAAGAATTCAATCTACGAGCTTTTTTCAGATTTGTTGAAATTAATTCTTAAAGGACCCTAGAGCTCGTAATTTGTGAATTTTATAAGGAAATCTTTAAAACAAATAAGTTGGAGTCCTCAAGAATATAGCTATATATGTATTGTCATTATAGGTCAAACCTCATTTTCTCGATTCCCTTCGAAATCGTTGAAATCTAATTGTAAATAAAATTTCATTAGTTAAACAGATTTTTGCATACAAATTTTTTATTGGAATTTAAAGTATAGATATACATAATAATTGTACAAAATTATTGTTGGTAAATAATTGGTGCAGAAATAATATAGTATTTAAATTTATTTTCTCTTTTAAATATTAACTGCTTTAGCTGTCAGCAAAAAGAGTTACAAATAAAGTCGACAGAGGGCGCTTTATTAACAGCCCAGCAGTGGATAAATTCTATTGCATACTTTTGAGCGTGCAGGCAAGTACCAATTGACTAAATTATACTTTATTATGATAACGGCACAATATTTAATTCCTATCTTTTAGTATATATTTAATGAAACATATATAGTTTTAATACCACTATTATATTATTATTAATTATTACACTATTAATTATTAGAACTTTCTTAGAAATTCTAATGATACTTGCAGATTTTTATAACGTCTAAGTTATAGCCCTTCAAAACTTTTTCTAAAAATATCATATTTAGATTCTTTCGGGTGACCTACCTTTTCGAACGCGTACACATCAGGACTGTTGGCATTATTGTGATAAAAAAATGTACTTTCTAAAATTTTACCAATAATCAGCAAAATGACAAATTTGGATATTAACGCACCATGTCCTTTGAAAATCTCTCAGGATATAACTGAGTTATGTTTGTTTTTCCCCATAGGATATGAATAAAAAAAAACCGCTATAATTTTCCCATTTCAAGGACTATCCGAGTGTCCTTTAGCCAACAAATAATCCACATCCTCCCAATTCAGAATATGCGACGAAACTGGTTCAAAGAGCCATGATGATAGGCCATATTTTGTCCACAGCAACTTCCTTGCGTATCCTGTCGTTATAGCCAATTTTTTGTTTGCCAGAAAAACTCATATTTTCTCAGCTGTTTGAAGGACTATAGTCCTTCAAAATTGTCACCTTTTCTTTACTGTTTGAAGAAGTTTCGTCCTTAAACTGGGGGACTCTTATCTTTGTTATTACATTTTCGATGCGCGAGTTGTTGCTTTAAATATAATTGCTCGTGCATATCCCTGCTGATGTTGAAAAGAATTTTCGGGATAGCATCGCAAGGGTCAACTGCATTTATCTGTATTTAAAAATTATAGGATCTTCTAAGAATCACTGTAATCTGCTAGGATATGGACTTTTATCTTGGTATGTATACTCAGAACTTAAAGTCTCTAGCATTTAAGACCCTGCCTGTAAGCATTCAAGGCGACATAAAACAACGTAAAGTCCTTCGATTCAAATTATGTGAGTATGTAGGGCGATTAATTTATTCAATAGGCAACACACAAACAAATGTTAAGATTTGCATTTATGTACAAACTCTGTCACTTAAAAGGGAGCCTCTGTTAGAGTCAGCCTCTATGAGCACGCTCTGCGCGGAATAGAGTCCTATTCCAGGGCCTGTCCCAGGACGGGCACCTTGCGTTCAGCCTTCTGCTTCTGCTTCTCCTTGAGCAGTGCGTAGCACTCGGGCACTTTGTTGTAGAAGTCGCACAGCTTCGTCTGGGCATTGAACGCCAGATACTTGCCGCAGTTGTAGAGTCGCGGATGACCATTGACGCACACGAAGTACTTCTTGCAGGTCTGCGGGTGACGATAGTAGCGCAGCTCGCCTTCGGGACTGACATCGACTTCAGGAGCAATGCCATCGACCAGCTCCGGTGCGGGGCAGTTGAAACCGAGAAAAGCCTCCGCATTGCAGCTGCCCACCAGATCGGGCCAGTCGCATTGATAGGTCTCCTCGTTAAAGGCTAAGCCCTCGGGGCATTTAGTCAGGCTGGCCACACCATGGGCGCAGTTACGATAGACACCGCACTTGGTCTCATCTCCATTTGGATAGAAGCCGAACTGGCGCGGACACTCGTCCGTGCCGTTGGCAGGCTGCAGCCGCGAGCGCTCCTTGCAGGTGGAGTAGGGCGCATAGGTGCACTCGCCTGTCGCCTTGGTGCGTTGATGGAAGAGCAGACCATCTGGGCAGAGCTTGGCGACGGGCACGTCGTCTTGGCATTCTGTGTAGGCGTCGCACTGGTCGCCGGCAGCAAAGCGCCCGTTGGGTACGGGGCACTCGGGCGAGGCATGTGCTGAAATGAAAAAAAAAACAAAAGGTTAACACGCAAACAATGGCTGGGATATTTGCTAGGCAAAACGAAAGACTTAAGCAACAAACTCTTTACAACAATTATTTGACTTTTTATTGGCAAAATGGCAAAAGTTACAGTAATAAACGGGCACAAGGCCCTTAACTACAGACTAGAAAACTCGAGCAGCCCGTTGGGCGTGCTTTGCATATCCACAATCTGATTTAACTTTAGCTCCTACACCAGTTCCCCTCCCCTTCTGCGCTTAGATCTGCTTGCGACGACCGGCAGCTGCGGCGGCACGTGCAGCTTTGATCTCGGCGCCCTTCGCTCGGATATCGCTGCTGCAGTTGGGCACATTGTCGATGTCGTCGCACTGCTTCAGCTCCTGGTTGAAGGCCTGGTCTTCTCCGCAGCCAATGCGACGCGGTCGGCCCTCAATGCAGATGAAGTACACTTGGCAGTTGTCCGGAGATGGATGGAAGGTGTAGTCCTCTTCCTGCTCACCCAACAACTCCGACTTGACGGCAGGCGCGGGGCAGCGGAAGCCGAGGAAAGCCTCGGCATCGCAATCCTCCACCTGATCGGGCCAGTCGCATTTGTAGGTGGCCGGATTCCAGGCCAAGCCCTCCGGGCAATCGAACACAAAGCCACGGCCCGACGCGCAGTTCATGAACTGGCCGCAATGACTCGAATCGCCCATCCGGTAATAGCCAAACTGATGCGGACAGTCCTCGGTGGGCTGGGCAGCCTGTAGACGCGACTGACCCTGCGCGCACTCCACGTCGATGGGGTAGCCACATGGGTAGCCAGTAGACTTCTCATTGTAGAGCAGCCCGTCCGGGCATATCTTCTCCTCGGCGACGCCGTTCTTGCACTCAATGTAGGCATCGCAGGAGCCGGAGACGGGAGCCGTGCCATTAGCCTCGCGGCAGGCGCCAGCTGCTGCTTGGGCTGCAAGAGAGGCGGATAGGTGGGGGTTAATAGGGTCGGGCTTGGGATTGGTTCGCGCTTACCTCTAATGAATTATGATGAAAACTGATGCTTCGAATATCCCTGCACTCCAATCTCTCTTTATTCTCAATGCAAATGAACAAACAATTCAACAGCCTTAAGCAAAGCAAGTTCTTATTCTAGCAAATATATTTCGAATTTATTTTTTACGCGTATTACAGACTATTTATTTACGATTAACCGACTAACTTGCAATAAAGCTATAGTTGTTATTGTTATCGGTCAAGTGCACCATTAAACACGACATATCTAACCTGGACACTTAATAATAGTCGAAAAATAACTCGTTCAGTATATAGTTTATTTTGTTTCATAATAAAATATATTTAGAATGACACTATAACTATTAATAATTTATTTTGTCATTATTATTATTAAGTATAATTCAATTTAAATGTATCATCAATATTGTTATTTTTATAGTTAAATAATACAATATAAGCATTTCCTAGAAATATTGTAAACAAATTAAGTACCAATTTTGCCTACTTGATGTATTAATAATTAACAATAATTAATAATTTAAGTGTAGTAGTCCGTTACGGCCGTCTTCGACATATGTGTTGCCCGCAACAGAAATAGGGACTTATGCTAAAATTAAATATTATAAGCCTAAAAACTGAAAGACTTATTTTGCAAAAAAACCGGCAAAAGGTCAGGCAGACATGACTATATCAATTCGGTTGTACACATTTTATGGGTTCAAAGATGTCTTCTTTTATGCATTACACATTTCATAACAAAATTGAAATACCCTAAAACTCTTCAAATGTACAAAAATCCTATTGGAATATACAACCCATTCGAAATATTTTTATAGATAATCAAACTCGCTCTAATGGGCGCTCTCAAGTCAAATCTTGCCCAATACGCGTGCCAAGAGGCTAAGACGAGTACAAGAAAACAACATTAAATTGTCAAGACATGAACATATTTGGCTAAGTCAGTTCGTCGGTCTGTCGGTCTGTCGGTCCATGTGACGCATTTGTGACGCCTGAAATTTTAATGAGTTTTATGTGGGTACACACCCCGTTTGTTGAACCCGTCTGGGCATCCATTGTGTCTCGGAATTCGAATTATGTTTTGTATAAAGCGGAGCAAAAAGACCACATAACACATTTAAGCTATTTATAATGTTATTTCAAAACTGGGCTGGAAAGACCCTACTGTTTTGACTCTGCAATAATATAAATACCAACAAAATAAATGAATAACAAGTAAGAGGCTCTAGTCGAGAGCTCCCGACCCTGAAGCTATATGTCAAGTTTGCTTACTCTAGCTCTTATTATTTACCAAAATTGCCCAAAAAACATGATATCGATATCGATTTTTATCGATTGCTTGAAAACGGAGTAAGTTGTCGTTTTGGAACGTCATATCTCCGCGCGGAGCTATGTAGTTTTGGTACGCCATATCTCCGCGCGGAGTTATGTCGTTTTGGCACGTCATATCTTCGCGCGGAGTTATGTCGTTTTGGAACGTCATATCTCCGCCCGGAGTTACGTCGTTTTGAAAAGTCATATCTCCGCGCGGAGTTATGTCGTTTTGAAACGTCAAATCTCCGCGCGGAGTTATGTCGTTTTGGAACGTCATATCTCCGCGCGGAGCTATAACCCGAGAGCTATTACCCGAGAGCTATTACCCGGGGTAGGTTCGAATATCAAAACTTTTTTTTAATATTTTTTTGAAAATCTCGGGTAAATATAATCTTATTTTAAAATATTATACCTTTTTGAATTCGTACGGATCCCTTCTATCATATGGCATTCAAAGAAATTAAACATTGATGGCTTGGAAAAAGTTGTTGACCAAAAAACGTTTCGTTGGTTTAATCAACCTTTTTTGTTGATTTTTTAGACTATCTCGGCCAAGTAATCTCAGAGTCGAAGCATTCGCCAACCCATACAAGGACCTCGCTGAGAGGTGTGTAGTCAGAAGGCTCAAGAAAAGATCCCTTAGAGACCTCCTCCAACCACGACACAGGAGAAGCCCCAGAGCCCACCGACTACCTACGTGACGGTGCAGCCTTACTCAAAGAAGACGGCTTTGATGTTTGTCCACGATAAAGCCTGAGGAGCCAACCAGGATTGGCGAGATACCACCTAAGTTAACGGTTTTGTAATACAAATGTATGCTATTTTTTGATTCAATACAATAAACATATATAAGTTAAAAAAAAAACAAACTTTTTGGACGATTTTTTTTTTTTTTGAACTCTCGGGTAAATATATCCTGTTTTTGAAATGTTATACTTTTTTGAATTCGTACGAATCCCTACTATCATACGGCATTCAAACAAATTAAAAATTGATGGGTTGAAATGAGTTGTTGACCAAAAAACGTTTTACATCACGTTTTTTTCCAAAAACGTACGGATCCCTACTATCAAATGGTATTTATTAAAAAAAAGTTGTTGGCCAAAAAACGTTTCCCTTGCAAAGTCTACCTTTTTTGGAGTATCTCAAGTGAGATTCATTAAATTATGCTAAACGAAGTACTGTCCCAATCGAGCTCTCTCCACTGGATTTATTCAAGCCATATAAATAGGTAGCTTTATCTAAATCAATATACTTACTTTGCATACCCAAGCCATTTGCATGACATAATATTAAACAAGTAAGAGGTTCTAGTCGGGAGCTCCCTTCTCCTCTTCCAACATCAAATGCATATATATATTCTATTTTAGAAGCTATATGTCAAGTTTGGTGACTCTAAACCGAGTAAGTTATCGATTATCGGAAACAAACTCGATCTGCGCGGGAACTAGGAGCATCTACATCTAAAATTTCAGTCTCTAGCTCTTATAGGTTCTGAGATCTTTGCGTTCATACATACGGAAGGACGGACGGACAGACAGACAGACGGACATGGCTAGATCGACTCCGCTATCAATACTGATCAAGAATATATATACTTTATGGGGTCGGAGATGCTTCCTTCTGCCTGTTACATACATTTGGATTTTGCACAAATACAATATGAACTTTTATCCATTTTTAATGGGTTCAGGGTATAAAAGGGATTATAAATTAATCAAAAGAAATTTCAAAATATGTTAGCTATAGCGTTTGCTTTATAAGAACTTTTAAATTAATTTAGCTAGATCAAACTCAACTACTACTATAAAATTTCTTGATAATCAGAAGAAAATATGGAAAACAAGCCACATTTAATTTGTGCTCGTCATAAGCATAGTGCCTGGGGTTTGTTCCCTCGCTTTAGCTTGACAAATGACTTTTCCAACTAACAAATCTCATCTGGCAAATTCAGTAGCTCAACATTTTCCCACACATTTTAAGTCAACACCGTTCACTTGATTCCGCATATGCGGCTACATACTTTGATTGCAGTGCAACGTTGGAGTTTTAACACGAATTCAATGAGGTGGCCAAAAAAAAAAACACAAAAAAAGCTGCTGAATGCAAAAGCTCTCAAAGGTCACACCAACCGGCTGGGCACGCATCGAGATTGAGATTCATATAGCAGGCCGCTGTCCAGTTTGAAAACAAGTTTCTGGGCAGATCTATAAACAACGTGGACCAGGTAGCAGAGGCAGCAGCAGCAGCAAATGTTATGTAATATTGATTTTGGGTACTAATTTATTTAAGCGACGCTCGAGGCGTGTGAATTTATTGTGAAAGAGCTGCCATGTGGCCTTGAAATGAAACTGAGTTAACATTTTGAATGAAATGCAATCTGCGCTTTAATAAATTTGCTAATTTGCCAGAAGCCCTATGCGGAAATCTATTGGCAACTTTGTTGCCACAGTCAGTAGCACTCTTTTATGACAGTTTTCATCCGAAGCCATTTCCTGGTATTGTTGGAAAATCCATTCAACATGGGCTGCCAGTGGCAGTTGCCTAATTGCGCGATGACGCTGCTCGATCAACTGAATTACCGTCACATAGGTGTAATTAAAGCGAATTCCATGTGCAGCTGGGAAAATGCGTTGGCGTCGGGCGTTTGTTAGGTGTCTCAGAGGTTGGGACTTAAGTGCGCGGCGCGTTCATTTCGAAATTTTAATTGGGGCGCCTCCAATTGATGCGATTACTATTGTTTTGAGTTTCAGAGCGAGGGTGGTATTTAAGTCTAGTTAAACGTTTTATTAGCATTTGTTTCAAACGTAAAAAAAATAAAATTATGCTAAATTTAAAATTTAAATGTGTAATTCACGAAATGCTAAAATATAGTATAAAAACAATTTGAAATATGAACAGCTTTTGACAATAATAACAAGAGCCTAATAACGAGTCCCAAATCTCAACTAGGCTCGAATGCGTTTAATTAAATGTATTTTTTTAAAAAATAAGTTTCGGTATATATATATATTTTTTATTATTATTTGATGTTAATCCGGTATTTGAATTACATTTTTATGTGAACAAATTGAATAAATTAAAATACCTTGTTAAGCTCAAAATGTCACTTCTGATGAGTTTGAGAATAACCTGATTTGATTATATTTATAATTTGAATAGTTCATTTTGTTACTTCTTTTTCTTTATTCATTTTTATGTTTTTCACAATCGTATGACGTAAAAGCTTTTACCAGCTTGCACAAGGTGAACACTGTTTTGTATTTACTCTTAAATTATTTGGGCTTAATACCCAAAACCATTTTCAGTTCTGACATATGTGCACAAGTTTGTTGCCTAAGTCTTTCGTTTTGCTATGAAATGTTTGTGTATGAAATTTTATTTTCACTTACCCAGTGAGCCAAACATGGCCAGACATAACAAAGCACTGATGATTATTTTCGCCATATTGAACGTAAATGAGTGTGTGTGTGTGTGTGTGTGTGTGTGTGAGTGTGTGTAGGTGGTTATCCTTCAAGTGTAGTCCTTAGGCACTACGTTCCGTTTAAAGACGGGAAGCGAGCGCGATGTGCAACCAACGAGCAGACAATTTGGACTGTTTTGCGATAGATACGAGACGAAGATCTTAACTGGTAAAATGGCAAGCGACGTCGACAGCGACGTTGATGAGCATGAGCTGAGACTCGAGCTGACGCAGTTGCTGATCTTCTTCTACTTTAGTTACGTATACGATAGCGACAACTTTTGTCGTCTCGCCGTTCGCTGGTGCTGTTGCAATAAAAACAAATATGTTAATAAATAACCAAAGCGCATAACAACAACAACAAAATAAAACGAGCCGAGCGAGCGAGCGAGGGAGTCGGCAGCTTCTAGCAAGGCCCAGCGCCATCAATTCGACAAAAAAAAAGAAGCTCGTCTCGCTCGAGATGAGTCAGTGGCAGAGCAAGATGCCAACAGGTTGTTTTAGCTGAGCTAGCAACTGCCTTAGTATTAATCAAAGTTTGTGCTTAATTTATGTTAAATAAATGCTTAAATGCTATCCATCGTATTTGCATTTTTGGCACTCTTATTTTCATTTTAAACAGAAACATTTCTGGCAGAAAACCAGAAAAATTCAAGACGACTCTTAAAGTCAAGGACGGGGACAAGCTGCGCCCATGCCAGCTCGAGCCTACGGCTGTGCCAAGTGCGGGGCTACACCATTGTCTCAGATTCGGCGCGGCGCTGTCTTGGCTAATCTGGTCTTGAATTCAGCTCTTAACGTGAGCAGCTGTGGGGATTTTTCTTTAATTTTTGACACCGCGCCTGCTAATAATTCAAAGAAAACCAACAATATGTTTGCTAGCAAGATTAGCTACAAGATATTGGCGTGTCTTGCATTCGATATTGATTCACTGATGTTGTTCATTAAAAACAAGACACAATTATTTTTATCTCACCTCGTTATGGGGCCATTTTTGATTATGATAAATTAGAATAGTGTAGATCTTACTATCACATGTCACATATATACACTTTTAATAGTACAAAAATCAAGACAAACTTATAAATATTTTAGAAAGAGTCTGAAATTTGCATAAAAAAGTTGATAGAAAAAGATTTAAAACATTTTTAGTAAATATTAATAAAAAAGAGTTGAAGCCTCTCAGCTCGCAGTTATTTTATTAAATACGCAAATCTTGTGATTCATTTTAAACTGTTTTTATTTTTTATTTTTACAATACTTATGCGTAGATATATTTCACATCAGTTTTGTGAACTTTCTTACATTTCAGCTAATAGTCCTTGCTCAGCAATTGTCGCGTTGTTCACGCCAAAAATCTTAGAAATCAAATCAAGTTTGAAGCGATCAAATGCTGTGCTCAAATGAATATAAAAGGCCTAGGACTGTTGTGGACTTTATTATATTTATGGCCTAAAAAAGATTGATTAATGAAAATACTTCCTAGTGTTGGAAAGTAATATGTAATATTCAATTAAATACAAATAATAATTATATTGTGTAATAATAGTTTTTTAAACATAATATTGGCAGGCTAGCTATAAGAAGACTCATTCAATAGGGCATGACTTCGACTAACTGCAGCTTAAATATCAAGTCGTTCTGAAAACCATAACAAAACGTTTTGTTTAAGTAAATAATTTGTTGCAATTCTCACACACATACATATATGTACAAATAGCTTAATTCATTTTGATGTACACACTACATGAATTTATATATAATTAATTACTATCAATTATTTACATACAAAAATAATGCTCTTTGTCCCTTACGAAAATCGTGTTCCACTTATGTAATTTGGCCTGAACAAAATGCCGATAAGCCAACACAACAAAAGGTGTCTGTGAATTATTTATAAAAATACAACGAAAATACAATTCACTGCCGCATTACCTACAATTTTTTTCTTTTATATTTTTCTTTTTCTTATTTCTTTTCGATCTCTAAGGCACTTTAATACTTTATCAATAATATAGTGTTTTTTTTTCAATTTTTTGAATTTTATGTTTTTGTAACAGTTTTGTTTTGGGTCTATTTTAGCTACTTTCTCAATAGTTTTTTTTTTGTTTTTTGATTTCATTTTATTTATTTGATGTTGATTTTTACTTTATATTTACTTTTGTCTGGCTAATTGAAATTTATTCGGATGTACTAACTTTTTGTAACAGTTGAGCGCATAAAATTGTTTAGCGAATTGAAAAGTTACTGCTAACTGCTTTAGGTGTAGACTTATAGATAGACATACAATAGATACAAACACCAATTGATTTTTTTGTTGTTGTTGTTGTTTTTTTTTCTTTTTGTATTTTGTTCCCAAGACACTCTCAAAGATGTTTTCACATTTACACATTACATAATTGCTTTGGCAATTATCGAATTTCCAACTGTCAACTCCCAACAAAAAAGCGCCCTTTAATTTCCATAGTATATAGTGGGTTTAAGGCCTGAACAACAAACCCCTTTGCCAAGATTTTAGCATGTCTTTGTCTATCAATATATTCCTCGTTATGTTTTTAACATTTATATGTGCACAAGTTTGACTTTAAGTTCAACACTAAAAAAAAGCATATACAAAACTAGTTTAATGCATATGATTTTCAGTTTGTTTTTAGCTTGATTTCATTTCGGTTCGTTTCTTACTGCTTAAGTTGTAATTAAATTTAATTAATGCTCAAATTAATCTTCGCCTTTACTAGTACAAATATCACGGTTTGCATTTACGCATTACGCTTTAAAACGTATTTTTTAATTAATTGTTTTGTTAATTGTTTAATTTTAGGCATTAACTTGAACTTCATTCCCAAGGTTTGTAGAATTGTATTTTGTTATTTTCTCTTTTAGTTCTATATACTCGTAAGTCTGTACGCATTATACGTATGTATTTTGTTTAATTTTTCAGCATTCTAAGTTTAAACGTTTTTAATTCTTTTTTGCATTTTCTCAAGTCTATTTAATTCTTGTAATAATTAAACCTTTTTTGTAGCGGCTTATTGAATTGTTGCTGTCTAATTTTAAAATTAGTTTCAACTAGTTTCTAAACCTATTTGTTGCCCTTTCAATTCGCTTTGAAACTTAAGACGGTAGACGGTCCAGTTGGTGATTTACATACAAATTTAAATGGTTAGACTATTGTGGCTAGGAATCTCTATGTATACGTAAATATCTTGAAGAGCTAATCCACCTAACAACCATTTGATGGCAGCTGGTAAATAGTAAAATGGTATGTTCTTCGTTATAATGGGATAATGGGTAAAAATACTTGAGTACTCCACGAAAATTGTTGAAGGAAAGCGGAAATTAAGACATAACTGTAACTAACTGTAATGAAATTCCATTCGCGATAAATCGGCTAACTAACTAAGACAGGACACAAATTAAATGGCTTAAATAATAATTGGAAGTAGGACTACAACTAAATCATAATGACTGCCCGTGAGCAAAAAGGCAATGCAGCCCGTGGACAACAGAGGCCAATGCAGTCCCAATGGGATTCCTGGCTCGCTCTGTGTGGATGGCGCATTGCTTGAAATGATATGAGCCAATGTGAAGATCAAAGCGCTTAAGAAAACTCTTCAGCTGTTTCCGGTGAGGACTCACCCATTCCAGCTGTATGGCAGCTCCTGGCTAACTAACTTTAATCGGCATTTACAAAAAGAACCAACAACTAGCTACGTTTAACGTACTTAAGCCGTGCTCCTAAGGCTTCGCTTATGCATAGAGTAGAAAACACCCGCTCCGAACTCTTCTGGTCTATAAACCTAAGTAATTCTCTAAGCCTAAGCTAACTAACTAACACTAACTAGGCGTAAAATACACACACACACACACACACACATACACAATGCTAATGCCATTAGGAAAGGCCTCCGGAATAGGGCATCATTGGCTCCTATAGCATTGCGAATATAAATTGTGTGGTTGGCTGTTTTTGTTTTTTCAGTAGTTGTTGTTGTAGTCTTTTCGCAAACGTCTCGCTTGAGGAAGTCGGTGCTCAACTGTGCTTCAGGATTAGTTACTATATCGCACAGCCCTTGCGCATGCCGTACATGATCTTCAATTCCGGATATATGATCTTGCGTATCAGCTGATTCGTCTTGCCCGCCAGCATCGCCCGCCGATTGTCCTTTTTCAGCACTTTGATGCCCGGCTTGTGCACCAGAAATGCATTGTCCAGTATGTGGAACTCGTAGTCCAGCACGCACAGCGAGTAACCCTGAAAATCAGATTAGACACAAGCCCAAATCGATATATAGAAGCCAGAAAACTCACCTGCGTCATCTTGTCGCTCTTGCCCTCCCAGCTGAGCCGCTCGTCGTAGTGGGGATCCGCATGGGTGCCAATGTAGATGGGCTCCCAGTGCACATAGTAGCCGGTGCGTTTGCCTATGTGAAACACACTCAGCTCGTCCGTCTCATTGGCCGCCATCCACTCCTTGGACTTGGGCACGCCGTGGCAACTGGCGCACACTCGCTTGTGAAAGGGTATTGCCTTGCCCGTGCGCAGAAACTCCTGCAGCTCTGTTTTATCGTGCGGGACCGGCGAATTCTCATCCACCTCGAATATGCTGAGCGGAAATACTCTGCAAAATCGAAAATGCACTTGATTAGTTTATTAAGTTATTTCTCTCGGTACTAGTTGAAACTGGCTTTTAAGTAGTTAGGATAGGTTTTAAGGAATGATGAACATATATTAATACAATTTGAACTGATGTGTGTCAATATTTATGATCCTGAATTTATAGTTTATTGCTTGTGTGAGATAATCTCTAATAAATTATTCATTTTATTCAAGTTTTTATTCAGTATTTCTGAATTCTGCTATCAAACCCTTCCGACTTATAATACAAGTTTTTCTACCTTCAGAAAAACCCATTTCAGACATATTTCACATCTGATATTAATAATTCCGATTTTTACAGTATTTATAGGCTTATATGCTTGTCTAGTCGGCAGAAAAACAATATGTTTCAGGGGTCGGAGTTTTCTCTTTCAGTTTCCTGATATTATTTTATCCAGAAAATACAATTATTTTGTCAGTTCTATAATACGCGATTATGGTAAAGATTAAATGTTAGACGTTAATAAATTGATTTTTCTACAATCGCACTAGTTAAGACAAATTTTAAGACTTCGAAACAAATAATTGCAGTTCCTTTTTAATCAGCGTAATCAATTTCTAGTAAATTGCAATTGTATTTGAATTCGAAAAAAGTGCAAACATTTTGACCGAAACAAATCAATAAGCTGCTCTTCTTCTTGTATATTTGGATGTGCCTCGCCTACTTGCAAATGCCCAGCATATTTATCCTAGTCCCAATACTGCATTCTTGGTAAAACTCACCTGGGCGCCTTCCGCCGCAGATACTGCTCGTTGCGAGCAATCATCTCAAGGAATTTCTTGACCAGTCCGGGATTCGGATACAGTTCAATATCCGAGGCCAGGATAAAGTGTGTGAGCGCCGCATCGCGTGCAATGTTGCGACCCACGTTGACTGGGTAGAGGAGCTTCTTCTGCGCCTTGTACAGATGCCCGGAGCTGACATTGAAGTACGGCGCAGGCAGCGAACAGTTGTAGCCCGTCTTCAGAGCATCCTGTGCCTTGGGCACGCTCTTGGGTATGTGCTTGGTGCCAAAGTAGACGTGAAAAGTGGCAAAGGCGCGCACCAGCTGGTTGCCAGGCACGCAGTCCCGCAGATACTTGATGGAGTCCAACGTGGGCTGGAAGTCCGTGCCGGGCGCATGCATTGCTATGCTAATAGGTGCGTTCCAGCTGCATGGGGTCGGGTTTGTTTTGTTAGTTCAGTTGGATAGAATAGAAAAAAATAACAGAGCTTACCGTTCCAGCAGCGGCACCAGATTGTCCAGGAAGGTGTAGTCCGCATGCGTTGTGTAGGTAATGGACTCGTGGCACTTGAGCTCGCCATGATCGGCCCTCACATAGTTCTGCAGCACCCAGAAGTCGCCGCGTTGTAGCGTCTGCTGGTTGTAGTCGTGCTCGAAGCAGTTGAGCAGCGTCCGCACGCGCTCGTCCAGCTCCTTCTCGTCGCCGGTGACTATGTAGCTATCCGGCTGTGTATTGTTGAGCTCTGCGGCAGCGCTGCTGCTGCTGCCGCCGGCTCCGATGTTGCCCACAACCTGGCCAGGATCAGCTGAATTGGGCTGCAAGCCGCTGCCAGCTCCACCGCCAGCGCCACCGCTGTCGTTGACCACTGCGGGCGGAGGGGCCGCAGCTGCCACAGGCTCCGAATTGGCATTGCCTGTGGCTGCTGCGAGCACCTTCTCCTCTGCAAAGGCCGCCTCTGACTGCACAGGGAATAAGAAAAGGAAGTTAATTTATTATGCTTTTTTATTAGTTCAGCACTTACATTCACGTTTTTCGCCGTGGGCTGCTGTTGTGGCAGCAAGGGAGAGGCCTGCAGGGAGGATGCCGCCGGCTGTTGTTGCTCCTGCAACATGAAGCCGCCGCCGCTGGTGAAATTGTTGCCGCCGCCATTCATCAGAATGCAGCCTATGTACAATAGGACGGCTACGTTGATGAGTATGCTGCAGCGCAACAGCCAATTGCGGCGTGTAAACATTTTCTGACCCAGCGGCTCAAAGCGCATGTTGAAGCTGCAAGCAGACAATTGTTAATTAATTAATTTAATTGAAAACATTTCCAATTTAAATTAATAACAGTCAGCTGTTAACAAAAGCGCCACCTATGCTGTTGTCTTGGTACTAACGCTATTCACAAGCGTTGCCACCTGTTCGCAACTGCGTACGCTGTTATTGCCAGCAATTCAAGCACAACTGCTGCTCTGTTAAGGTACTAATGTTACTCTCTCTGTTAACCCTCTGTTCCAGATATGCTAAAGTGGCAGTAACGAGTACTTCTGTAAGTATCGCGCATCTCTATATTTAGCCATTTTGAGTACACTTCAACAGCTGTTCCGATCGGCGCCTTTTTGCTGCGGATGGCGCATAAGTTGATAAACTAAATACAATATTTTGAAATACATAGATACGCACACAACATGTCTTTGCAACAAGCTCTAGATGATTGCCTAATCGACTTCGACAGACGTGTGCTGGTCACCGATTTGCTGGAAGAGTACAAATTAACATATAAAGAAACTCACGAACTGCTCGAGGCGCACATTAAACAGCAAGAAAGTGCAAGTGCCACAAAATACGAGAAACGCTTTCTCGTCCACGGCATGCAGACTGGTGGGGACGGTGAGCTGTATACGATTGTGCAAGGCGAAGATAAACTGAAGGAATGGCTGGCCAAATTGCAAAACTCGCAATTCCAGCTGTATTCAGTGGAAGTGGCTGGCGGCTCCAAGAGTGCTGCACCTATTTTCAAGCCCATGCAGCATGTGGAGGTGCAGTTAGCTAAGCTGGAGCAGCGAGCAGGCGCCACGCCCAAGGGAGTCACCAATGGCGTGAGCAATGGTGTCCACAAGCCCTCAGAGATATCAAAGCCGTCCAGCATCAAGGTGGAACAGTCAAAACCGAGTGCCACCAAAGTGGAGTCTGCCGCACCCGCAGAGCAGCATAACAAAACATCGCCGAGCGAGCAGAAGAGCAAAGCAAAGACACCAGCAGCAGCTGCGAAAAAGGGTAGCATCGGCAGCTTCTTTAGTGCGGCTCCGGCGGCTAAAACGCAGCCTGCCAAGGAAAACAAAGCAGCTGCCGCCAAACCTGCCGCCGGCAGCATGGAGAACTTCTTTAAGAAGCAACCAGCGCCCAGCATCAGTCAGGCAAAGCAAAAAGAAGAAGCAAAGTCTGCCAGCAACACCTCCGTTCAGCTGTTCGCTGAGGAGAGCGAGCCGTCCTCCGACGAGGAGGAGAAATTGGATAAGCTGCGACGCAAGGTGGTCGGTTCAGGGGACGAGTCAGACGAAGCGGACGCGAAGCCAACAGGTAGCAAGCGGCGTCGCATTGTGGACTCCGACGATGAGGAGCAGCCACAAAAGAAATCAGCAGAACCGCAGCAGGCAAAGGAGGCAGAGGAGCCAATGGAAGTGGAGGCGGCGACAAATGAAACCTTTCTAGATGATGATGGCTTTGTTATAACTGTAAAGGCCAAGAAACCAATGCAAGCGGCCAAGAAAAAGGCCTCGCCAACAGCAGCAGCAGCAGCAAAAGCTGCAGTTTCATCTGCACCAACTACAAAGAAAAAATCACCGCCGGCAGCAGGCAAAAGCGCAAAAGAGACGCCTAAAAGCAAGCAGGGCAGCATAACAAGCTTCTTCACCAAAAAGTGAAGGCGTTCCCAACTAGTTTAGTTATATGTTACAATAACTGAGATTAACAAATTAAAATGCTTGCATTCCCGAAATATACACGAAATACTACAAATAATTATACGTATACTTTATATTAAATTAAACATTTTTCTTAGTTTTCTCACATTCAATATTTTACACAAACTAAGTTCACAAAATAAATATTACGAATTACACACGAGATGCTTTCCATTATATTGAAAAACATGGAAAACTTTCGAATTGTTTTTCGGGTTGTAGCTATTTAAGTATTAGTCACCCCACATTTTGTTATTTCAAGTATTTTACTCGCTTATCTCAACACGAATGTAAATCTAAAAACTCAAGTGGAACGTTTTTCTGATCTTGCCTTTTAGTGGCTTCCATTATCAAACCGTCTGGCCGTATGGGCGTCGTACTCGAACTGTTCCTTATCTGGTCAGCGAGTGTTCTTATAAATTTAGGCGTCCTACTCTGCGCTATTTGCATTGACGCTTGTTTTTGTTTCTTTTTTTTTTTATCGTGCGTCATGAATGTTGCGCTACTTGTTGCCTGAGTAAATGGCATTTGTTTGCTCTTGAGCCACAGCTTATCAATTTGCTACTTCCGAATGCGGAATGATAAGCGCTGTTTAATTAGTTGACATTGCTACAGTGTAGGTAGACTCTATCTTTACTTCAACATTTATCATTCCTTTTAGTGTTATTTCAAGCACATGCAGTTTGAGGTTTACAACAAAAACAAGTTTTGCATTTATTTTGCAACCTAAATTACGAGTGCAACGACTTTTCGGGTCAGACCAACGGACGAGATGTCATCAGCATTACTCAGAGTGGAAAAAAAATAATAAAATACCGCAGAACAGGAAGCGCGAAATTAACTGTTTCTGTTTTATTTTTATTTTTTTTGCGGCACTTTGCTTAAAGTGCCGCCAGCAATATAATTAGTAACAGCATCAGCAACAATTCGTTGAGATTGCCACATTAATTGCGCAACGCTCCTAACTGTGTCCCAGGTGAATGCTGTTCCTGAAACTCACATTATTGTATTAAATTCCCTTAAAAATGAAAACTTTTTTAAATTAAGTGAATTTTTTCACTTTTTTACCCAATTATTTAATAATATTTATAATCAAATTGCAGTTGCCAGCCGCAAAAACCATCTAGAACATGTAATCGCCATTTAATAAAAGCAGGGAGGCAGTGTTTGAATCAATTCGATTGCCAAAACAGCAACACAAATTTATTTAACCTCTAATAAGAAAAACATGAGGTTTGCAGACGATATTATTATTCAAATATATTCTTGATTAGCATCAACAGCAGGGTTGATATTGTCAAGTCCGTCTGTCTGTCTTTCTTTTTTAATGCAAAGTAGTTCTGCTGCAGGCAGTACATTCGTCAGTTGAATCGGACTAATAAATAGATGGCTTACGAATGATCGGTCGAAAATTAGGTTCTTGCCTGAAAAGGTTTTGTGTTTTTCTAGATACCTCGAAAATGAAGATTATGTCTGAAACACTTTCTAAAACAAACTTAACATATACAAGTTTCACTATGCTGCTTGTATGAGCCTATCAAGAGCACACTACTATATTATATAGCTTAATGGGAAGAATCGGTCGGTACTCTGTTCTGTTTTTGGTTTTCCAAGATATTTTTATCAAATTCAGCAATTATGAGCTACACTAGTCTCTCATATCTGCAAGACGTAAGCCAAATGTTACAGGGCTTTTATATTTTAAAATTGTCGAAGATAGACGTACATTTATAAAATATTTATGTTATATAAGATCAAATTACTGAAAAGGTAGAGAGAAAGAGTAAGTGGAAGAGGGAAATGGAGGCACATGTAAGGTTAAAGAGACAGAGCTTTTGAAGAAAGAAGCCTGTAACAAGAACCATAGCAGAAAACTGGGTCAAATATGTAAATCATTGGCAAAAGCTCAAAGAAATACAAAAATTGATTGTTAAATAAACAATAGCGAAGATACGTATATTTGGCATAATCTCGGACACTTTCGAAAACGTACGCACAACAGTTAAGAGACCTCGGCTGCAATTGATGTACTATTATTTTAGAATTTCATTCTTTTCTTTATATTTATGTTTTGGCACTTGCGTGTGCTCATTAGCGCAGAAAAAGTATCATTCGAATACAAATTGAACGGTTGCTTTCGAGCTAGAGCTGGAGCTGCTCCATTCATTAGGGGCTCCCCTGGGGGCACACGCGCCCGGGCATTTTACACGCATCATTGGAATCGCTGCCGTCGCTGTCGCCGCCGACGGAGTTGATGGATTGGAGTGAAAACTGTGAGATGTTTCAAGTTCAATGCACCGTCTTGACTGATGGCCCACTCCTCCTGTCTCTCACCCTACCACTCCATAGAAGGGGGCCTGCGGTAGGTGATTTTATCAGATACTTCATGGCAGGTATGCAAAAAAAAAAGTGCCACTGGTTTTTGTGTGTTTCTGGGACACGGGCTCCGTATGGGACTGGATTGTTATATGTGCTGGATAAATTTGCATAGCCTGCGGCCAGTTCGAGTCGAACGCCTCGGGTAATCCGCACTGTCGCATTCGGCAAGCCACGCGCACAGGAAACCAACCAGAAATCAGCATCTGAATCAGAATGAGAATCTCGTCAAGCTGCGCACTGCCCGGCGGCCAATTTGATAAAAATCTTTTGCGCGCGCTTCGCAACAAGTCTCTTCTGGTTTGGAGTTTGAGTTTGAGCTTGAGTTCCTCTCTTTTATGGTCACATTTGCCATCATAATAATCGTGTGCAGAGTTCAATGGCAGGCACTTCTAGCGTTCCAGAGTGGGTTGCTTGGCGGGTTCCTAAGCATGGCGTCGCTTTTATGCTTTTATGGCCCCGCTCGGCCCACTCAGTTGCTCTGGTGATTATGCAAAACACACCAGTGTTCCATAAAATTTGGAGCAAAACGTGAGAATTTTTATGAGTTTTCAATTTGCCAATTGCACAGACCTGAGTGGCCCAGAAGTGCGACACACGTTTTTCCCATTTCTGATTGTTTTTAATTGTTTACCTATTTATTTTAAGTTCTTGTCTCCGTCAAAATGTTGCTTGGCAACAGCGTCGCGCGAGAATGACTGATGAGGCATGGGCTTAGAATTTGGCAATCGACTCATTGAAATATGAATATTTAATAGGGTTTCTTATTAAAACAGGTTAAGAGTATCTTGCGGCGAACAATTGATAAAAACAACATCTACACATGACTAAAAGCAATTCTATTTTCATGTTCATGAGCCGATAGCAATATGCTGATTTTTTGTTTGATGTCTCCAAATTCAAATTCTTAATAAATGCGGGATTTTGGAATTAAGACTTTAGAGAAAAAAATTCTATCTTATAATGATTCACGTGTTCTTAGATACCAGTATAAGCTGTATTTTGACTAATAAAATTCTGATCAGCTTGCGTGTAGCTCTAAAATTATAGTTCATAGACAAATGTTCATTTATGAAATTCATATGTGTTATATTAAAGTACGAATATTTTGTTTTTTCCTACTACTTTAAACATATAGATTTTACAAAGTCTTAAAGGTTATACGAAAAGTGTTCAAAAAAGGGGCAAACCAAAATATTAAATTTCTTATTGATAAATATGTTTTTTATATTTCTAATCAGCTTAGTTTGAGGTCGAATCTAGCTATAATGGCAATCGACCATTATCGAATACATAATGTAAGAAAATATAGTATTTGCCTAGTATCTGTCCAGTATCCAAATTTCAATCGTGGATTAACTCATTGTGCCACCTTAGATTAACCCCACTTTCAGCATCAATTTTCGCCCAAACGTAGTCATGAAGTCAAAAACTCTTTCAAGAAATGCCAGCGAAAACTAACAATAAAACATTCCAGCAATAGCAGCAGCTGGCAGCGCAATCTAATTAGACATAATAAGCCACAGAGCAAGCAACTGAGAGACGAAATTTTCTGGCCAAAAGGTCTGGTCAACTGTTGGTTTGTTACCAACTCGGCTCGGGCTGGTTGCTGGCCAACCGATGAGCAACAAAGCAACCGAGCAGCAAATCGACTCTGACTCCAAGTTCGACTTTGGCTCTAGTGCTGAGTTTTTCCGGCCTGCGCTATTAAAATATATTACAGCAGCAATTTCACTCGACTTTATTTTTGCGCTTTAGCGGGAACAGGGAACACGGGCCAGGCACCAGGGATGGGACCAGGGAGCAGGCAGCAGCTTGAACCAAGCTCGGGAGCAGTCCCGCCGCCGCTCGCAGTGCCTGCTTTTGGTGTATATAACTTAATTTTTATGGTCATGCAAGTCAATTGCAGTTTGGCATTTCTTCGATGAATTTTTCTTGGCCAGCCTCGCTGGCCGTTGAGGCCATCATCAGCTCTGCACTGGTTGTTATGCTGTGCCAGTCGCAACATCGTAACATGAAACGCAGCAAATTGTTTGCACAATGGTTAAAGACTATGAGCCGAGCAGTAGGCGCACCTTGGGACCAGGGCGTCTTGGACACAGCAACTGCCTGGCCAGCTGGCCAAGTTGCTAGCGATTTCTGCGCAGAAATAAATATATGGGGCGCATATCTATAGTATACATGTAGAGCTAAAATGTAACTTATTTGAAACTTTTTGGCATTGTGTTCCATTTCAGATCCTTTCATCTTGAGAATCGGGTTTTAAATAGAATAAGTCCAGCTGTCGTAATGCAAATGTATTGTATTCTATTTCTATGTGGGCCTAGCTGTCCAAAGGGGAAGAATCAACTTTGTACTTAAATATACTTTTCTTGTGCTTTCTAAAGTAACTAACGGCATTAACTTAATTGTAAGCGGTTGGTGGGGTTAAAAAAATACATCAAATATAATCTTTAAGTAATACAAATGTATTCCATATTACAGATTTTGGCAGGTTCATCGAAGTGAGGGAAATTAGTAGATGAGCTATACATAAACTAGCGCGTCAATCCAATAATGGTCCCTGCACTCTAATTGCCCCACAAAGAAACACATTAACTTAAATATTTGTAAGCATGTAGCCTGTATACATATACTTGGTCTCGGCAAACAAGGCAAAGTTCTGAGGGATTCAAACGACTACAAAGACACAATAGACAAACAGATAATTATCGATAATTGAACATTAATAAATATCAACATGGACACAAATCGACAAACCGACCGGCAGGGC